TACCATTTGTGTCCCACCTCGCCTGCCATATACGTACGCGTCAGACGCTTCCTCGTCGTTATGGTAATCCCCACCGTACGTGTACGGTAGAGCGCGTTAGGACCAAGTTGTGGCGAATGAGTTTTAATTAACCAGGATAACGGTTAAACTTAACAGTCCCTAACTAGTCTTTACATTAACATGGGTGTAGTAGTCACTGACTAGTCCTTACATTAACATGGGTGTAGCAGTTACTGACTAGTCACTGACTAGTCCTTACATTAACATGGGTGTAGCAGTCACTGACTAGTCCTTACATTAACATGGGTGTAGCAGTTACTGACTAGTCTTTACATTAACATGGGTGTAGCAGTCACTGACCCTTACATTAACATGGGTGTAGCAGTCACTGACTAGTCCTTACATTAACATGGGTGTAGCAGTCACTGACTAGTCCTTACATTAACATGGGTGTAGCAGTTACTAACTATTCCTTACATTAACATGGGTGTAGCAGTCACTGACTAGTCCTTACATTAACATGGGTGTAGCAGTTACTAACTATTCCTTACATTAACATGGGTGTAGCAGTCACTGACTAGTCCATACATTAACATGGGTGTAGCAGTTACTGACTAGTCCTTACATTAACATGGGTGTAGCAGTTACTGACTAGTCCTTACATTAACATGGGTGTAGCAGTCACTGACTAGTCCTTACATTAACATGGGTGTAGCAATCACTGACTAGTCCTTACATTAACATGGGTGTAGCAGTTACTGACTAGCCCTTACATTAACATGGGTGTAGCAGTTACTATATATAACTAACTCTTACATTTACATGGGTGTAGCAATTAGTGACTATAGCTCTTACATTAACATGAGTGTAGCAGCCGCTGACTAGCTCTCACGTTAACTACCTAGGGTGTATTAGTCACATTAAACAACGATGATCCATGAGATGTTCTCTTAAAATGTTCCACTAGAAAATTCTCCTGCGACATTTCTTTATGATATTTTTCTACAATTTACCCGCCAATACTATGTTAACATATACAAGATTACGATCAGTCATGCAATTACGCGAATGCACCTTATTCTAATAAAATAATCCCCTGTAATGTTTTCCTGAGATGTTCGCGTGTGATTAGTGACTTCAGTATATTCATACGCTATCCCATTAATGTGTTTCCTTCATGATTCTATACCATATAAACCCACGTATTCTCCTCTTTATTCTCATACGATATTTAATTATTATAATTACTCAATATATTCTCTATTATATACTCTTGCTACATTTCCAATTACATTTCCACACTATGTTTTCCAATCTCCTACGACATTCATTTACGATGCTATCTCACTATATCATCTATTATCTCAAGATAACCCTTGTGTATATTCAGAAATATTTCTTTACGCCACACTCGCGATGACTGGACTCTGGACATTCTCCATTAGACCCCATAGAACATCTTTATTACGAGATCGGTAGCTAACCTTGCGTGAATTTCTCTCAACGATTTTCACTGATTTTCGTTAACGCATATATTGGTTACCGCTAGCGAACATTAGCGTCTTGGTATCAATGAGAGAAACCCGATACCAATGAAAGATCGATACCAGCGAGACAATCGCTAATGAAATAACCCGTTTCGATATGTGCCAATTGTGAAAGCAATCTCAACGCATCGGCGGGACTTTATAACACAAAGTCGGCAATTAACTCAGCTCGAATTTGATCAAGTTCTCCGTCTTCATCCTGATAGCATGTCAAGGTGAAACACTTCGAACAAACAATCCTTCAAATTCGAGTCGATCTAATTGTGTTCACTCACCTTCAAAGTTGGAGATTGCTGGACGAGCCGGACGACTTTTCCTTCACCGAGTCACACTCTACAATGTACATTCACCGATTTCGGGAGATAGTCTCTGTGTGTATGTGCCTCGCGTGCGTTTCGAGTTACTATACTCGCGTAGAGAGAGAAAGTATGTGTGTGTATGTGCTAGCTACACAGCCCGCGAGTGCGGGATCGTACGCGAGAGCAGGCGTTCGGATTTCCCCAAACGCAACTTTGCTATTATCCACAGTCTTCCGGTGCCTTTCGTTCAATGCGTGTCCAGTCGTGGCGCGTCAAGCTATATGCGAGTTTAAATACGCACGGGCAGAGTAGGAGCTCCAATCAATCGTCATGCACGCGCTCGCGCCACCAGTCTTGACGATGAGACGGCGGTAGTGCGCAGGTACGAGCTGCCGGTGGATGCAGGCAGCGTACCGCGTGGGGGCGCGTATACACGTCAGCAGGCGACGATAGAGCGTAGGCCCTAACACACACACACACACACACACGCGCGCGCGCGCACACACGCACGCACGCACGCACGCACGCACGCACGCACACACACACATCGTCCGCATTGTCGCTCAGCAAGAACATCGGGTGGCGTTTTCCGCGTGCGGATATTATGAAGTTTGAAGGGCGGGCTTGAAGGACACGGGAATTCTGAAGCTCCGCGTCGTCAGAAGCTAAATTAGTCTTGATGTTGGTCTTAACGTGAACATTTTCGCATAGACCGGACCTCTATACGCTGCGTATGACAAAAACCCGTAACTTTACCTCGTTTCTGTCAACTGTGTATGTGAGAAGTTAAGACAAATTTTAAGACAACTTTTGTTTCTCACAACGGGATCTCTGGGAGCCGCACCGGCGGGAGCTAGGCGCTCTGGTCAGTTCACCTCACTCCACATATGCCGGCTTTATTAGCTTTATTAAATCAACGGACACCGGTTTTACTCTCGGCGAAGTCCACACGCACGCGCGCACGCACACACACACACACGCACGCACGCACACACGCGCACGCGCACACACAACACACACACGCGCACACACACACACACACGCACGCACGCACACACGCGCACGCGCACACACAACACACACACGCGCACACACACACACACACACACACACACACACACACACACACAACATACATATGGTGTATGCAGGAGTTTTAATACTCACCCCACTAGTTATTGTTTAAGTTTCAATACTAACCCCCGCCCCTTGTCAATCTCAGAACTACCGTACTTACACCACGAGGTCGTAGTGTTACATGTAAACTCATTTATCTGCGGTTCGTTAGCAAAATGTCGAGCATACTTTGGAGGCAATGATGTATACGCACCTTCTTTTCTTAACCCACTTTAATACGGAACGCACTACAGTGTTGTAAAATGAAATGGCGTGATCAGAGTCGACACAGACTTATAAACTACGAAGTCAAGAATCCATTTCGTAACGAATGGTAATCGAATCGCGCATGCGCACACGGGGTAGAGTTCGAGTTCGCCTCAAGCGAACTCGGGATAATTTCGCAATCCAAACAGGAACCAGCGGGGTTGATGTTTTAAAATCTCTCTCTCACACAGCATGTGTTCGGACGCACGCACGTACGCACGCATACGCACACACACAACGCTTACAAACGCTTACGCGCACATGCACACGCATGCATGCATGATTTACACGCACAAGTACACGCACGCGCACGCGCACGCTCACGCAGACGTACACGCACACGCATACTCACGCACGCATACACGATACTTTATTGGTATTATCAAAAAAGGAAAATATCGAATTAAACCGTGTATCCCTTTACATCTCAAAACTATTATTACTGGTAATTCAACCCGTTGCGTTAGATTTTTCGTTATGTCGCATTACATACACTCGCGGTTTTGCTCGGAAACACTCTGTTTACTTTTAATCGTTACGAAACGCCATTTCTTTTCGCTAAACGTTTGTTAAAAGACACACACACACACAGCGAGCGAGAAGCGCAATCGTTGAGCGCGGAATTTGTTTATCGGTGTGAGCGGTACTGGCATCGGATTGAATTCGACTGTTTGCGCGCAATACACGGAATAAACATTCGGTAAACTACGGAACAATGTTGACAGTTTTCTCCTTCAGACGTTTCCGAACCGATTTCCCGATGAAATATGCGGTCGAATGAAATTATCTGGCCGCGCGTCTCTCTTCTCCGGAAATTCGCATTTGCACTTATATTACACGACGGC